ACTTCAGCTTAGTTTATATATATTACTACATTAGTGGCGGCTATGTTTCCATTGCGTTTATCCATGCAGAGTACTCTGTAAGATATATATGCCCTCCCCAGCACTGTCTGTATGTTATGTTATACAAACTTTTATAGTTTTTTTTGTATAAGGACGTGGCGCCATCTATGAATCTAGTTAACGTTAACTAACGTCAAAGAATATAAATGCTCATTAACGTGCCCCTTGTTCCAAACTATCATCCCACAAAATTTGGTTCAGAATGGCCCAGCGACCTAGGAGTAGTTAGATAAGGAACAAACAGACAGACACACATATTTTTTGTGCTTTATATATCTAGATTCAATGTAAACGTTTATTTCTGTTTCACTTCGAGTGTTAATCAAGATTCAAGGTATATGTTTCGTTTCTGTTTAAATTCGAGAATTATTCGAGATTCAGTGTAATCGTTTATTTTCTGTTTCTCTTTTAAGTATTGTTTAAAATTCAATGTAGGCGTATCTTTTCTCCTTACTTCGAGCTATAATGTTGACTCCTTTGCTATAATTCACAGTAAATATACTCAACTTGTACAGTATTCACAGTAAAACTTCATATAGGCCCGGCATGGCCAGGTGGATAAGGCGCTCGACTCGCAATCTGAGGGTCTGGGTTCGAATCTCCGTCCCACCAAACATGCTCGCCCTTTCAGCCGTGGGGGCGTTATAATTGTGACGGTCAATCCCACTATTCGTTGGTAAAAGAGTAGCCCAAGAGTTGGCGGTGGGTGGTGATGACTAGCTGCCTTCCTCTAGTCTTAAACTGCTAAATTAGGGACGGCTAGCGCAGATAGCCCTCGTGTAGCGAGATTCAAAACAATATTAGAACAACACAAGGTCATCATATATTGTTGAGTCCGTGTTATATTGTTGATCCCATGTTATAACAACTCAAGGTTGTGCTATATTGTTAAGTCCCTGTTACAACAACAAAACAAGGTGGTCTTATATTGTTGAGTCCGTGTTATATTTTTGATTCCATGTTATAACAACTCAAGGTGATGTTATATTGTTAAGTCCCTGTTACAACAACAACAAAACAAGGTGGTCTTATATTGTTGAATTGATACAAACAACATCAGGTGGCCTTATAATCTTGAATCCGTGTTACAACAACACAAGGTGGTCTTATAATGATTAATCCGTGTTACAACAACACAAGGTGGTCTTATATTGTTGAATCGATGTTAAAACAATTCAAGATGGTCTTATATTGTTGAATCCATGTTATAACAACATAAGGTGGTCTTATATTATTGAATCGACGTTAAAGCAATTCAAGATGGTCTTATATTCTTGATTCGACGTTAAAACAATTCAAGATGGTCTTATAATGTTGAATCAATGTTACAACAGCACAAGGTGGTCTTATAATTTTTACTGTTTCTTTATGCACGTTTTGTGAGATAACATATTCTATGTTTTATGATTATGGTTGTGTTTATCGTTCATTCATTATTTTCTTCTATCGTTTAGTTTATCTATGAATTTTTATTTGCGTCAAAACTCTAACTCACTTTCCATATAATAATTTGTTAGTAAATATATGTGTGCGTATTGATGAAACTGACACCAGCTTCCCTAGCGGTGATGTACAGATACTATTAATATAGCAGAAGAGTATGTAAATTTATGATCACATGAGGTTGTACTCTCGTGACCCACTCTGTGTATAAATACCCTGCTAGAAGCTTCAGTGAGAAAAAGAGAGAGTCACGAGATAGTTATTGTTGTTTGTCACTCGTTATTGATATTGAAAGGTATTGTTTGAATATTGTACTTGCTATATTTTTTGTGGAATTAGGTTTTACTTTGTGGATCTCTCCCCCCCCCTCCCATCCCTAAATCCATTGTTATTGATTTATTAATATTTATGATAAATTGTGTGATAAATTGTAAGACTACACATCATTGTTATAAAAGTACAGTTAACCACACATCATTGTTATAAAAGTACAGTTAACCACACATCATTGTTATAAAAGTACAGTTAACCACACATCATTGTTATAAAAGTACAGTTAACCACACATCATTGTTATGAAAGTACAGTTAACCACACATCATTGTTATAAAAGTACAGTTAACCACACACTACACATATAAGATCATCTTGTGTTGTTGCGACAGGGACTCGACAATTTAAGATTGTAACGATCTAAAATGAACACGCCGCTACAGCCAACATTGTACAACGAAAAACAATTTATTCACGATAACAACATTTAGCGCTGTTGATAAACAAATGCCTGGCCAGGACTCCACACCAATATTATCAGAAAGTTGTCCTCCAGAAGTGAGCCATAGTTTAATGTCTAACGTTTAATGTATTGTTTTGATAGGTTTTGTTTGTTGTCCTGCTGGGTGTTGCTACGACCAAGGATCAGGACACCGCTGAAAGTGTTTATCACCAGGGTGTCGTAGCAGCTTACCCAGTCCCTGATGGTTACCATAACGACAAATACGATGATGGTTACTCTGTGCCACTAGGTGGTTTCGCCAAGACTTACTACAGCTCTGTTCCAAGTGCTTACGGATATGACAGCGATTATTATGGCTATGGCAAAGATTTTGATGGTTACGGATACGGACATGTTTCTTACACCCGACCATCACAAGGATACGGAAACTACGGATATGTCAGACCATCATACGGATACCAAAACTACGCACACGACAAACCATCATACGGATACCAAAACTACGCACACGCCAAACCATCAGGCGGATACGGCAACTACGGAAATGCCGGACAATCAGGCGGATACGGCAACTACGGAAATGCCGGACAATCAGGCGGATACGGTAACTACGGAAATGCCAGACAATCAGGCGGATACGGTAACTACGGAAATGCCAGACAATCAGGCGGATACGGTAACTACGGAAATGCCAGACAATCAGGCGGATACGGTAACTACGGAAATGCCGGACAATTAGGCGGATACGGTAACTACGGATATGCCGCATCAGCACACGGAAACTACTGTCATCCCACACCTGCTTATAGAATCCGTTACGCTCTTCAACCTGTTTCTGGACACGGAAACTACGGATACACACGTCCTGCTTACATCAGTTACGGAATTGGGGGCTATGCCTACGACGGACCCACATACGGTTATAATAATTACCACTAATCTACTTCATACTAAAGCTATGGCTAACCCTTCCTAGCTGCAAGTTAGTGTTATTGTGCCTGTTCAACCAGGATATTTGTGTTTCTGATGTCGTGTCTTCTGTAACTCAGAAACTTTTTATTGTATATAAATAAACGATACCTTCTGAAAACACCAACTGTGACTTTGATGAGTAGTAATAGCTCCAACAAAACACTCAAAGTGGACTTACGACAGCAAGGTTCTGTATGTTGTCCTCTATAAGTGAGCCATAGTTTAATGTCTTGCAAGGTTCTGTATGTTGCAAGGTTCTGTATGTTGTCCTCTATAAGTGAGCCATAGTTTAATGTCTTGCAAGGTTCTGTATGTTGTCCTCTATAAGTGAGCCATAGTTTAATGTCTTGTGAGCCATAGTTTAATGTCTAACGTTTAATGTCTTGCAAGGTTCTGTATGTTGTCCTCCAGAAGTGAGCCATAGTTTAATGTCTAATGTATTGCCAGGTTCTGTATGTTGTCCTCTATACGTGAGCCATAGTTTAATGTCTTATAGAGGACAATATACAGAACCTAGCAAGACATTAAACGTTGGATATTAAACTATGGCTCACTTCTAGAGGACAACATACAGAACCTGGCAAGACATTAAACGTTGGACATTAAACTATGGCTCACTTATTGAGGACAACATACAGAACCTGGCAAGACATTACATGTTTGACATTAAACTATGGCTCACTTATAGAGGACAATATACAAAACCTGAAAAAACATTAAACGTTGGACATTAAACTATGGTCCACTTATCGAGGACAATATACAGAACCTGACAAAACATTGGACATTAAACTATGGTCCACTTATCGAGGACAATATACAGAACCTGACAAAACATTGGACATTAAACTATGGTCCACTTATCGAGGACAACATACAAACCTTGCAAGACATTATACGTTGGACATTAAACTATGGCTCACTTCTAGAGGAAAATATTCAGAACCTGGCAAGACATTAAACTAAGGTACACTTCTAAAGGACAACATAGAGAACCGGCAAACAAATATTCATTCAACAAAGTGTAACTTAAAAATGTATGTAACCTAAGTACTCACAGTTCTGAAGGTAATCATGATGATGTGGCTACAGCTCTTACTCCTTCCTCTTCAATAAGAAATGCTGACAGGACCTGGGTGATCGGAGTTTTTATAGAAAAATAGGCGATCGTTATCCAGAAGTTTCTTCTCCTTTCCTCCCTAAGGATAAAAAATGAAAAGTATTTTTGGCCCACAGAATATTTTGAGTCACAAGTCGCCAGGGGGCTAGGTGTACCACAAAAGCAGACCCAGTGCTCTCAAAAAGGGATACGTTTAATGAACAGTGTTTGGCCCGTGGCGATAACAATGGACTGAAGTCAGACCAAGATCAGTTTTAAATCGACATCGGCAGTTCCTGGTTCAAATGTTCATAGTTAGATAGCTCGATCTTCACGTGCCCCAACAATTCAAAAACAGAAATTACATCTTAGCAAGAGTTAAGAACAAAACTACTACGTTAACAAGAGTTAAGAACAAAACTTCTAAAATCATGTTTATCTAAAAGGATGAACGCGAAACCTGTTTTTTATTGTTGTTATTGTTTTACCTAGAAAAACATTGTATATCTAGAGGGAAGAATATCAAAACTTGGTGTTTTTATTGTTGTTATTGTTTTAACTAGAAAACAATT